GCTCTATACATTTCAGGAAACTGTGTTTCATCCAAGGCATGAGAGGTATCAGAATTGCAAGTGTTTTGTTTTATGAAATGCAGATTATCCATTCCAGTTTTTTTTCTCCCAAAATGTATTGCTAGGTGTTATCTAATACCAGCGACATCTAACACAGACCAGGTCATTTAGTCTGCACTCTCCCTTTTAAGATTGGGGCTGGGTTCACATGTCATCGCAAGCAACCCTGTGTGGTTTCCATGCTGCATGATTTGGGGGGGGGAGGGGTGGATTTGCCTGACAGATGATTAAGTCGTTTCTGTGCTAGTGTGGTTTTAGCCTTCCTCACTCAGTTCCCTCATTGTTGGTATTCATTCCCACAGCTACCATGCCTGAGTTTCAATCCCATGTTGGATGACTGGAGCAGCTCTTGCAGTAGCTGCCACTCTTTCCAAGAGTCTCTGTGGTAGCACCATGGAAACTGTGATAAGGCATGGATACCATAGAACAGGGCATTGTTTGTTACTGAGGCTTCTAAAAACCAAACTATGTTGAAAGTCCATGACAGGGATGAAATGATGGACTATCGTGTGGAAGAAACCACTGTGGTTTGTGTCATAGGTCTATCTAAACTCCAGAATTCATGGCTAGCAGTTATGGTTACATTTCTGGACTTTTCTGATTCTCTCCCATCCTCCCTTCTGCTTTTTGTGCCATCTAGCCTGAAGGCAAATTTGAAAGTTTGCATATGACTGTGGAATTTTCATTGGTCCTAATAAACTCATTGCCCAACTGTGGATTTTGGATTTTTCTCTCATCTGTATCTTTTCAAATTATGTCTATTTCATACTTACCTGTGCCAGTATGGTGCATATACTAACCAAGACAGCTTTTCTTTCTATAATGAATGTGCATTTCTGTGTGTGGTTTTGAGGCCAAAATGCAACAAAAATAACATTGATGAGTTTTGACTTTTTATGAGTATTTGAGCTAATTTCCCCATGTGAGTAGTATTTATTTGCTTATTGGACTTTTAACCTGTTCCATTAGCCAAACTATTCCCTGTTTTGGTAAAAGTACAATGCATAAACATCATATGTTTGGTTAAAATGTCCCCTGAGACCACCATTGGTCAGTAGAAATATATACCTATTAGTTACATGACCATGTGAAAAAGCATATACAATAAGATTCTGGTCTACAATCCTATACACTCTTACCTGAGATGCAGTCCTATTAACAATAACAGGACGTACCCTAAGTAGGCATGTATAATATTGCACTGTTAATTACTTTGCCAATCTGCATTTCATATGTGTGAACTTTAGAACATTACAACAGACACCATATTTTAGGGTAAGCAGCTGCAAGAATATCAAGCATCTATTTTAATAATGGATGAAAAATTAACTAATCGCAAAAATACATCATGAAGCTATCTTAGCTTTATCAAAGATAGTGTAGCTACTAAGTGAGAAACCCATAATTCTGTGAAAAGTTACAGAACAGTATTTTCTTTTCATATCTCTGCCCACTGAGGTTGTAAATCTTAGCCTTCTGCTAACCCTCATTCTGTTAGTAAAGAAGCTCAATTGATGTGTACGTTACCATAAGTACCATAATACCAGATAACTCATAGCCTATTTTAGTTAAACAATGAAATGAAGTTTTATCTGTTTTTGCTGTCTTGGTTTTCATAACACAAAAGGTATTTCAAAAAGATTATAACTTTAAAAAGACAGTTCACAAAATCAAATTAGAGAAAAATATCCCTCCATATAAAGCTTAACTGAGCAAATTTACCTAATAAATATGTATTTGGATACAAAACAGGATAAAATGTTTTAAATAAATAAAATAACCATAGATTCCAATATATGTATTGCAGTTGACTCAAAATATCTTTAACTGGCTGATAACCCCTCTCTCACTACAGCACAAAATAGGAGTCAGATATGTGCAATTTTATTGTCTTCTCTAAAGTAAACTTTCAAGATTTTGCTCTTTTTCCTCAAGATAAACAGAATTCCTTTCTCCCATCAGGGAATATCAAATGTCCATCCAAACTAAGCAAAGACCTTCTGGATTTCTTCCAGCCTCCCAGAGCCTGCACAAACTCTGCTTAACAGAGCCAGAAACGGAGGCGGAACTCCTCAAGAAAAACACCATAATGGTGCAAGATGTGCCTTGTGTCACAAATCAAGGGACACAATGGCAGCAGCCCCCAATTATACTTTTTATTAGTTGAAAGATATAAAGACTTTATTCTAATACACCAGTTTAGCATTTTTAGTTTGATTGTATGTTTCTGTTTAACATGACAATTCTGTTGGAATATCAGAACGGTGTGGTATATATGTTCAGGATGTACTCCTAACTTCTAAGTTCAAAGATTGCCTTGGTCCTAGGCACCCAGAACTACATTTTGTTAACAGAATTTAAAATGCAAAATATAAGCAGGCCACAACCTCATTGTTCCTAAAGGGGACTTTCCCCCCAAAGTTAGTTTGTTTTTTCATTTCTACAAGGCATGGTGTTCCCCAAGCCTTCTGATACTTCCCTTTGGTGTTTGGGTGTGCAGTTGTGGGTACATAGGCAACAGTCTGTACTCTGGAAACAGATGCAATGCTACATAATTCATAGATAAGTGAGACTTATTTTTAATTACTGCGAAGCCTTGGAAACAGAAACTGGAAGGCCGATGTGCTTCCTTGGAATATTTCCGGAAAAGTTTACTTAAAAGGTATTGATAGCACCACCATCTGTAGACATGAACCATTTAAGATACTATGAGCATTTCTACATGAAGCTTTTGACCTGTCACTTTACCCAAGGCTCCCACTTCTAGATTCTTTGTGGATTAAGATCAACTCCTTTCCTTGTGTTTTTCTCTTTCTTGCCTTCTTAATTTGTTCATTACACAAGCACTAGGTGGCTCTGTAGTATCACAGAATTGCATAAATACACCACGATCTCATATTGCCATTCACAAAATACCAGTTTTTTCTTTTTAGAGAAAAAAAGAATGTTAGAATGGTTGCATGGAACGGGAGGCACCATGAAATATGAGGATGTTGTATAAAGTGTGTGCAAACTATGGGAGTGAGGCATCAGGAGCACACAATAAATGCCTTGTGTAGAAAGGCTCGATATGGTGTGGCATTCTCCTGTCAGATAGCAGTTTGCTGTTGGATAGCAGTCAGTCTTATCCTGTTACAGGAAATCAAGTTTACTTTTTGTCTAAACAGCATTAATATAGAACACACCATAAAACAGAGGTGTAAAACATACTGTCTTGTTTACGGTAAATTTGCTGAACCCTTTATTTCAGTGGAAGATACAGTGCTATGCTTCATGATGAAGGAAAGAAGCTGTTGAATTTGCAGGATTACCATGTACTTTAATAATTGCTCTTAAAAATAACACAGATACAAAGGAAATGTTAGCTGTGGAATCATTTTGGCCTAACAAGAGCCAAAGAGAAATAGGGGTATCCTGACAACTGGTGCAAAGACATCCCCGCTTCTTCCTGGCCCTGGCCCAGTGGAAGCTGGAGTAATCATTTTCTGTCACCAAGTTACTGCTATGCTGCTTTAAGCTGGTGGGGGGGGGTGTGATTATTTATGAGAATTTGGTTACTTCTTTTGTTATACACACTGATCAACTGGATAAAGCAACACCTGCAGATAAGTAAGTATTATAGTCTCTTCTAATAAATATGGGAATAATATCTGAGGCATTGGTGTCAGGCTTCTATGCACCGCATAACTTACGTTGATGAAAATAAGAAAGAAGGAACCCTGTATATTCTGTCATTCTGTGTGACGCTCATGGCAGTGAGACAAAAGGAGCTAAGAAATATACACCAAAATCTTACAGATAAGATATCTGATAATCAATCTGCATGTTTAGGATTTCAGCCATGTTATGGACTGCTTTATAAAACAGCCAAGTGGTTGCTCCTGACTACTCTTTCACTGAAAATAAATTCACACAGGCCTAATGACTAAGTATATTAAATATACACTTGCCAGCATGTTGTTCTTGTATTCACACATTACAGTCTTAACATGTAAACTCAAATATTTTATGAGCTCATCTAGAAAATGTGAATGACTCAAATATTTGATGAGCTCATCTTGAAAATGTGAATGGCTCAAATATTTGATGAGCTCATCTTGAAAATGTGAGTGGCTAAAGTGCCCTTCCAGAAGCAAGTAACAGTTTCACTAATGTAGACCTACTAAGTAAAAAAAAGACAGGACAATGCTGTATTTTTGCTTTTCCTGTGTGAAAATAATAACGAACAGATGCGTAACTTTAGGATATACAATCTATTTCACATGCATTTGCTTTGTGTTAACAGAGGTATCCAAAGTATGACTTGTATTTTGGGAATGAGAATGACTGGGATAGAGATAAGATTGATTTTAAATGCATTTAGTTTTGGGAAAGCTCTGTTGATAAGAAACGATGGTTGCCTCTTTGCCTACCCTTAATTTAGTCCATGTTCATTGTCCAGGGGTCCAAGAATGCTGAAAAAGTCATTCCCAAGGGTGCAGCTTTTCCACGTACGTATGTAGAAACATTTCTCATCAGGCAGCCATAAATTTTTAAGAACACAGTTGTCACGTATAAATACTTGGCAACAATCCCATGAGTAAATATATTAGCATGGATGTTGTTGCTATTATTTTTGGATTTTGATGGAAATGTGGGAGGGGCATTCCTTTAAGCCAACAAGTTTCTTTAAGTGTATACATTGAACTGTATTATTCCCCCCACCCCCAAATTTCCTCTTGGCTAAAGCAGCTACAGCCTCTCAAGTTACATAAAGCTCTACTTGTTGAGAATAGAGGGTTCCTCCCATGACCACCACTTGGAGGCTAAGACAGGGTTCAAGTTCACTGATGCATGAATCCATTTGTTTCAAGACATATCAGAACTTGATTAACTGTCAGTCTGTTACAAGCTTGTCTTCTGCAGCAGCCAGCACGCTCAGAAAATAACTCCTGCCTGCTATGGAGAATTTCTCATTTTTTCAAGATGGTGCCTATGAGCCTGCAATTCCTTTCTTTCAGAGTTTTTTCAACTCAACTAATGCATCCAATTTTCCTGAAAGACAACCAAGAGATGAACAATTAGCTCAAGTAGAAATTGCTGTCCTGGGAATAATATTTATGGCGGCATCTGTAGGTAACTTTATTCTCATACTGGTGTTATGGAGGAGGAGAATGAAGCTGTCTAGGATATATGTGTTTCTGCTTCACCTGGGCATTGCAGACCAGATGGTTGCATTCTTTCAAGTGCTTCCTCAACTCTTTTGGAAAATTACAGATGTTTTCATGGGTCCAGACATCTTGTGCAGAGCCATCAGTTATCTCCAGTTACTGAGCATGTTTGCTTCCACTTATATGATAGTTGTTATGGCAATGGACAGATTCCAAGCCGTATGCTCCCCCATGGCATCTTTTCAAAGGAAAGGCGCTCTTTGGAATGCTTCTGTCTGCACCAGCTGGTTTATCTCTATAGTCTTTAGCGTTCCTCAAGTATTTATATTTCAGAAGAATGAAATATCTCCAGGTGTATTTGACTGCCAAGCTGACTTTATCAAACCCTGGGGTACAAAGGTTTATGTGACTTGGATTTCTGTAGCTATTTTCTTCCTTCCTGCAGTTATCCTCATCATATGCCATGTCTGGATTTGCAGAGCAATCTACATGCATATGCATTTGAAAAGCTACAATGATTTTGAAGTAACAAATCAAAAGCAAATGCTGCCATCTCAAATAAGCAATACAAAATGTATGTCAAAGGCTGTGATCAAAACAATAAAGATGACAGTTGTGATAGTTGTTGCTTATGTACTTTGCTGGTCACCTTTCTTCATTGCACAGTTGTGGACTGCATGGCATCCAAGTGATGCTAGGACTGAAGGTAAGTCAACACCTTTTTCTGAATTATTTCAAACCCAGTAATCACATTGCTACTCCTCTGCAGTTGGATGAATTTACATTATATCAGAAATCATTAATACATTTAAAGTAAAATAAAATACATGTATAGTGATACAAGCTATAGTGTTTTGTTTTGTATAACTCTGTTTTATCTTTGTCAAGTAATATGTTTGCAACTGTTCCTGTATGTGTGAGCATAATATGGGCATGATATTATATGGGGAAACATTTAAACTTGAGTTCAAAAGAAGTGTTCCTTAAGAGAAAAACAGTATTTTGTTTTTAATAAGCAACACAGGAAATCAGGAAATGCAAGTCCAAAAGATCACTATCATTAAGTTTAAAACTTAAAAACAATGCATGTATGGAATACATTCTTAAAATTCACAGGAGCCACTCTACTTGATCTGGACTTTATATCAATATAACAGTATTTCTATGTTTATTTTTTTTTAAGTATTGTTTTCTTTAACCTAATAGGTATTTTGTTGAAAACATGTCATTAACCAGCCTTGAAGTACATCTAGATAACTGCTGTATCTTACAGCTGATAAGTATTATATGTTATGAACAACAGGAGTAGATGGAAGCACTTATGTCTTAATGCACTAACAATTTAAGACAGTCCCAGTTAATTTTAAAATACGATGTATAATGCATATGAAAAGCTACATTGATCTGATTCTAGAATATTTTAAATGAATTTTGAAAATATGAGAAAATGTTAAAGACATTTGGAAAACCCTCCATTACTAGCAAAACATCCAGCCCACAGTTAATAATTTAAGATTCATAGAATCAGGAAAGTATTTTTAATGTATTTATACATCTATGAATGACTTGTAAATTCTTTTCCTTTCAGGTCCAGTAATAGCTATTCTTATGCTCCTAGGGAATCTTAATAGTTGTGTAAATCCATGGATTTATATGTACTTTTGTGGTCAAATTCCGCATTGTTCAAAAAACAAATTGGACAACACTGCAGCTCATGAAGAGTCTACAATGACCGACAGTGTTAACATGGGAGATAAAGAAGCTGAAGACAATATCACAGCTGTGTAACTAGTAACTAGCTTTATTGCTTATGTTTATTCATACCATGCAAACTTCTTTGAACAGTTTTTCTAATTGGATAAGTGCATGAAGTGGGAAATAAGTGCATGTTGTTTTCAGTATATCCATATTTTCTTTAATTTTGAAGCAAATATGTGGATTTAAAAAATATCCCAGCAAAATGTAAGAGACAAGCTAGGGCTATTCCAAACATTTCTTCCACAGTTTTCTAACTATTCTCATTTAATTTGACAGAAAAGAAACTGCTTTGGAACAGAAGTTCAAGGGAGACAAAAATTTTAGATAACTATCTCATATTTGAGTTCAGAGTTTTTGTACCAACCTTACTTATGAGGTGGCCAAGGAGTGTATGAGTGTTCCATCTGTCATTATACAACTGTCTTTCTGACAGCCTGCAGTCTCCTGGGCTTCCTGCACTTCAATTAAAGCCCATAGGAAGACAGTAAGAGACAATTCCTCCTGTAGATTTTTTCTCTAGAACGGCAAGTGCAGGCAGCCTAAGAACGTCTACCAACCTGATCCAGGTGCAAGATAATAGCAGGAAGGGGTGGGGAGCCAGGTAAAATGGTGCCTACAGGAAATGATCACCTACAGTATTCATGATACTGTATAATATCTGTACAATATATAAATGCTCTAATCTGCATCTGAATACTATACATCAGAGATTCTAACAGATTAATGAGGGGGGTGTGAAGGTGAGGAAACTTTTGCTGCTGTTAACTGGGAGCCAGGAACGTCTGCTGGTTTACTGTAAGTCATCTGGTGACTTAATAGTCTGTAGAGATCTACCACCTTCCCATCTCTGCTTTAGAGTGTTCAGATGTGCAACATCATTGCTGGATAGATCTGAAACCACATTTTGCAGATAATTATGTTGGAAAGACAGACACCATTTCAGAATGTAGTTTAACAAATGCAAGAATTCCAATGCAGTACTCGGAGTCATTTCTAAGAAAATTTGAAGAAATAAATTCATGGCAACAAACATTCTAGTTAGCACACCTTGTCATGTATGATCCTTGTGTGCATGCCAGTGAAAGAGGGAAAACAAAACATTTGAGTACAAGGGTGTAACAGAACAAGGAAAGGGGGCAAAAGGAACTCTTGTTTTCCTTGTTTCAGTTTACATCAAGGGAAATCGGACTTTACAATTTACTTTGTATATGTAGCAAATATTATTAACCTTTTCTGAATAACACCTTTAGCACTGAGCAACACCTTTGCTTCTATTAGTTAAATCCAAGACATTTTCCATGATGTGAGCCAATATGTAAGATGCTCTGATTTTAATGCTGTAGTAGTGAGATAAATCTAGAATGATAAACTTATCACATGGTTCCTGTTTAGGAATGATTTTGAAAGCTCAGTTGTCCGGTGGGACAGAAGTTGAATGAATGAATGAATGAATGAATAATATTTTAAAAGAGAAATGTGATAGAAACATCTTAAATATTAATAAATACTACTTAGCACCATTCCTTAGAGCTAATTTCTACCAGCTCGCATAAGGCTCAACAATTGTGGAGCAAGCTTTGACCATACTAGTCATTGAGCATTTCCATCTGAGATTCTATATGTACTGGTTGGCATGGTCCATGCTGATCTCATGATCTGTCTAAGCTGTGTTGGCAATTTCTCTTGCATATATTGTGCAGCAACTGCAACTCTCTCCAGGTATGCAATTATATCCATGTTATTAATCCTCTGCCTTGTGTGGTGTTGATAAAAACCTTATTTGGGGGACCAGAATGAGGTGGGTACCTCATATATTATCACCCATTATTTCTTTTCACTGTAAAAATTACACTGTCTATTCAGAAGTCAGCTCATTGAATTAAGTGGGTATTCTCAGGAAAATGTATATTGCATTTTAGCTCTAATAGATATATTATAGATTTATGTTTTATATCTATTAAACCCTATAACATTTGAAGCATATACACACTTTAAAAAATCTACATAGCTGAACTACATTGTGAAGAGTTGTAATAACAGGTTTTCATGGATTAAAAGAACTGCAGAGAGACAAGAGGGTAAGAAAGCATCATTTCTGTTCACAGAAAGGACAGTATAATCCAATCCTTTGGACTGCTTCTGATAGTCCTACCTGAAGTTGCTAGGGATAAAACATGGGGGCTTCTGTATACAGAGCATATGCTCATCTGCCAAAATATGGCCCCTGAACTGGTGATGGCTTCGGCTTATATGAATCTTTTCCTCTTATGGACATATAATGAGGGATGCTTCTTTTGAGTGTTGGATGCTGACCAGCTATATTATGCCAACACCAAATTAGGGTTATGAACTTTTAGTGTTTGAAATGTGACCTTTACTAAATATACACAACTATATTAAAGATAATATTCTAATCTTTACAAAATTTAATGTATCATATATTTAGTTTTAATGCCATGTGTTGTTAAAGCTTTAACATATTAAATACCAGTACCATCTCCACAAAAGTACTATATATATATACACACACACACACACACACACACACACTTTAAGAACGCTTCAGTGGCTACCTTTTTCATGGAGAAAATAAGCATTTATTCGGGTTTTTACTTATTCTTGCTTGGAAAAATTTCTTTTTTCCTGAGGGACCCATACTTTATCATCTTGGTCCAAATGACCATAACTTGGTGCCACTGCTGTCCTGTCTGTAATTAGGGTGCTCTTAAAGCAGAAAATGGCTGATCTCTCTGATGTACCTATTTTGTTTTTACTGAATATCAGAGCTGGTAGTGGGGTAGATGTGGCCTACCAGAAATTCAACATGTGATAAGAGGAGATTTATCTCTTCCCTTACCAGTGCAATTGCTTCCTGTATGACTAGATTAAAATTAAATGACAAAAACTAGAAAGCCCTCCCCTAAGCTTTCCTGCCATACCAGGGACAGGGTCAGGGGTTCTGATAAAGATAATCCTCCTCACAAAATATACTGTGTTCCAAGTAATGATCTCTCCACTCCTAAAGTGGAAATTAATTTTTAAAAGGAAAGTATAGCTACCTGATAACACATTAAACAAAATGTGCAGATAAGCTGTCAGTGAAATAACAGACAGGGTTTGGAAGCAAAGCCAGGGGACAAGGGAGAGGAGGAAGACAAGCCCTGCCTGGTCCCTGCCTCCATGACAAGGTTGCAGGCTAGAAGGGCTACCCAATTGGAGGGCCTGCGTAGTTCTAGGAGGCTAGCCATTTTTGAGAGGGGCATACCCAGGGTGATGGATCCCAAGGCTACTGGAAAAAGGGGTTTTCAGAAATAGCATCTAGTTTGGATTCAATGAATCACTATGTTTGTGCAGAGACTTCTTTTCTTGTGGTTATAGTTTGTTAGCCACAAACTTGGCTATAAAGTTAACTTGGAAATAAAGAGCTCTTTTGCAAAGAGATTGTCTGTTGTTTGAAATGAATAGGGAAGCTCCAGCCCCTGACAACACCCTTGTCTATTTTGCATAAGCTTTTCTTTATCCACCCTCTGGACACAAATCTATTCACCATTATTGAACTGCTCTTCCTATAGCCAATGGAGGAATGCCAAGGATGCTGCCATGCCATATTATGTCTTTCTTCATCTTTCTGGATGTCCAGCAATTCCCTTCCTTCAAATGAAAAGGGAAAAAACAAACAGGACAGCAAGAAAAAATTAAATCCAAGACAATCCTTGAAAGGTAAACATTCATATTATGAGGGCATTGTATCCAGTAAATTCCTTTTTCTACTACTTTCCAAGCCACGATAACAATACTAGTGTTTGTGGAAACATTCATTTTAAAACAGTGCCCCCTCTTTTCCAGTGGGGGTTCAGGACTCTTGTAATTTCACCTTTTGTAAGAAAGACTTTTGTTATTTCAGTGTGGTTTTGTTTTTATATTTGTTAAACTTAGGAAGTGACAGTGTTTCAATGAGAATATGTATGTATATATATTACACATGTTAAATCTATCTGCTTTCGTTTTTGAAAAGCAGGTGTACAAGGCAGGGTAATAGTGGAAGGTAATGTGCTTTCAGCTGTACAAACTCTTAACATCATATTTTACCCTTATGTTATATTGTTAATGATGACTTGTGGCTTAATATGCATTTCCAGTATTATTGGTAGAGTTTCAATAGAAAAACTATGTGTAGGATTCAGACTTCATCTTGCATGGAGAAAAATGAATGTACACAGTAGAACATCAATTAATCACAATTATCTTGTCATTCATTTCAATGGGTCTGTTCAAACTTTGGCAGATCTGGACCTAATGCAATGTGAACACCCTGTTTCAAACAGGTTTTGGCTATTAATATATACCAGACTATAAATATATGCATATGTTTATAGGGTTGCAGTATACGTTTGAAATTTGGTGTACATGGTATTAAAAAAAAGAACCTTGGAGTTTGAAAGTGCCATCTTGACCTATGCATGTTTAGACAAAAAAATGGCCTATTTTGTCTAGACATGTATAGGATCACACCTTAATGGCTCCAGTATCCTCTTCTGGCTACAGCAAATAGTGTAAAATGCACAGATCATGAATTTTTCTTTGGGATCCAAATTAAAAGTTACATCTGGTTTTCTGCATGAGGTATGGTATTGGTTAACAGAATGTATTATTATTGGCTAACATAATAAAATCTGTAGTCAACAAAGCATATAAACAATAAAATGTTTACATGCAGAATACATGGTTGTACTCATACTATTAGAAATACTGAAATTAGTCTAGAGTTGCTTCATATTAAACATTTAGCACAGAATTGCCAATTCTCATAAACATGTTTATGGGGAGTCTTACAACATTTTAATCCCTTTGTAATCTTCCTGAGTTTTTGCAATGCTTCTTTTATACTTTTTCTTGCAACAAAAAGTCCCACATTTTTGAGAAGGTCAGAAAGTTAGTGCGATTTCAATACATGTTCAGTGCTACTTTGCCCATTTTTAAAAAGATGTATACTGACATGGGCAATGATGTATCATGCAGGTGAACAACTT